CACACACACACACACACACACACACATACACACACATACACATGGCTTGTACAAAATATCCCTCTTCCAAAATCCGGGCCTCTGACATGCCAGCCAACAAACAAAATGTAGAGAGAGAGAAAGATGCACAGTCATGATGACAGCAGTATTTATTCAGAGCTTCACCTTTGCACTGCTTTTCATGAAAGATACTGGTTTGTCCAGATGGCAGATGATGAGGTGATTTGTGAAAGCAGGTCAAAGGGAATCAATCAAAGTGCCAAATGATGGAAGGGAGAGAATGTGAATAATAAGAAAATATTCACAGAGGTAATAAATATGAAAATATAAAATATAAAATGAACTGGAGGAACACTACTGTTACAATTCAGATGTTTTGATGTTTGAGGAATCAATACACCTCTCCTCCAGTTAACCTCCAGCTGTCCTGGGGCATGGAAAAAGTGATACAACACAGGTAGTGTGTTCAGGAGTCATGATCATGAATGATTTACCCGAGGAGCATAGGCATAAAGGCCGGAAGAAAACCTTCATTAATTAATATAAATTATTTATAACCCAACAAGTGATTAATTAATATCAACGCCTTTATATTATACAGGAATACCAACACAAGGAGAGTAAAAGGTCTTTTAAATAGTTTCTGAGTCACAACTAAAAAGCAAATCCTCCACAGTCGAATGCGTCAAAGTCGGAGTCTCCTTCAAAGTCGAAGCTGTTGAAGTGTGGGGAGTCGACGTCCTGGCTGCAGGCGTGAAAGGAGCCCCCTGCAGGAAGCTCTGAGAAGGCGCCCGTGCCGTGGGCCATCTCCGAGCCTCTGCTGGCCAGTGGGGAGGAAGGGGAGCAGGAGCTGAGGTAACCCAGAGCAGAGGAGGCCGCCGCCCCTCCCATCAACAGGCACACTGCCCGCACCGCCCGGGCATCACTGCTGTTGCCGTGACGAAGACAATCTGACACACGATTAGGGGGGGCCACAGAAACACTATGCAGAGGCCGTCTTGGTCCAGTGGCTGCAGGAGCAAAACAAATCCGGGAAGTGTTGGCTTGCTGTCATATTCAAGGTTTAATGTGTCACTTGGAGATTTTTAATGTTTCTTTTCTCTTTATCCTTTTGAGCCTTTCAGTCGTTACTCTGTCTTCAACATGAGCGGCTACTTGACTGGACCTCAAATAGACGACAACCTCCTCCCACTATAGAAAAATAAAGCCAAATGATCTGGATACAGGTGCTGCCATTTTGTGCTGATGTTACTTGGGAGCAGCGTGTGCACAGTAATGATCATGGATCATTGGAACAATCTATTTATTGCAAGTCATTATTCAGTGTCAATCATTACAATTTACCTAATTTTTAATGCATCATATCTAGAATTGCTGAAGTAGAGCTGATACCTCTGCCAAGGCCCAACAGTCACTTTATGGAACCACACTTAAATTCCTAGATCTGGTTTTTCATTTTGATCTGCACCAAAGTGCACATTAAATTTGTTCTGTAAACATGACAGATTTATCTCACAATCCCTGGATCTGCACCAAAATGTCTTGATGTCAAAAAACCTCCTTGACTTAGGCAATAAAACCAAACACATCAGAGACATCATCAGTTTGATAAAAAAATAACACCTAACATGACACAAAACCATCTTTGAGAAAAATTTACTTTTTAGTTTGATCAAACTCAGTCAAACGTGTATTTTTAAACAGTACTATGAAGTGGTAAATCAACCTCTGTGTGTTCCTTTTTTAATTACTCTGCCTTGACGGCTGAAGCACAATTAGATTTGGGTTTCTACCTCTGTCAACTAACTACAGACACACCTTGGTTTTGGCCTCTCTCTCTCAGCGAGCCTCCTCGTTCAGTGTCACGACACAGAGGGGGTGTGCCTTCACAGATCCTAGGTGACCCAGGGTCTTTATCACTGCAGGAGTCGGGCAGGGGGTCTCTGTCGGTGATGCAAGGAGTGATGCTGCACCGTCTCTGAAGGGTCAGTGGGGACATGACACCCTGGACAATGAGAGGCCACAAAGGTTAATAATATATCAATATACTATTTAAATTCTCAAAGAATTCCCTTTGCACGTGACATATTTTATTTATATCAAAATGTGAAAATGATTGATTGTAGTGACGACAAAACATGGCTGAAGTCTAAACTGCTGCCAACTCACCTCTTTCACTTTTCTGATCAAATTCAACCAAAGACTGTGAAAGATAAACATAACAAAACATTATTGTATTTCACTCAGAGACGTGTCGATCACAATAACAACACACAAGAAAAATAAGTGCACTGTTCCCATAGTGATCACCAGGTTGGATAAGTTGAAGACATGGTCAGAGTTAAGGTTTAGGTTTAGGGTTATGTTCAGGGTCAGGTTGGATTGTGGGTGTTAGAAAAGACTGAGTAGATCCCTTTATTACAACCATGTTTATGGTTAAAATCAGGGATTTTATGGTTATATCAGGGAAAATAATTAAATTGAAATTCAAACAGTCAAAAGGTCGGTGAGGCGGAGGGAGTATTAATCCTGATAAAAGGGTTAAGGTTAGGTTGGGGTTAAGATTAAGGCTAGAATCAGGATTAGGTTTATGGTTAAGTTTGCGTCATTCTTGATGAGTGCTATGAGGTCCAGCTAAGTAAAAACAAAAATTTCAATGTATGTTTTATGTATGATAAAGTGAAAGTGGTCCACTTGCATTGAAGAGACAGAGGAGATAAACAAAATATAAATATTAAGTACAAATACATGGAAAGTGGCTAAATCCTGCAAAACAAAATTGTATATATATAACTGAAATGAATAACTTTTATTTTAGTTCATTCATTTTCTTCCATTTTGTGAAGCACACTGAAACCTTGTTTAGATAAGTGCTATACGGATAATGTTATAATTGGTATTATCATAGATGGGTTAGAAAAGTGTGTGTGTGCGTGTGTGCGTGTGTGCGTGTGTGCGTGCGTGTGTGTATGAGACACCCACTTGCAGTCATCTGGATTGTCAGTGAGAAGCAGCAGGAACTTGTTCTGGGGCAGGATGAGGGCGAAGCAGCAGTCTCTTCTGCCTCCTGGAGGCAGCCTGGGCAGGTCGAGAATTTCTCGTCCCTCTACGATGGACTCACAGTTGGTTTGCAGAGCTACCACCTGATCTGGGGGGGATTCTGCATCGCGGCACACCAGCAGGTTTCCCTCCATGGTCAGCACCAGGTACTTCTCTTTCCACTGTTTAAACATGAAACCTCCTGCAGACAAACAAGACACAGAGGAAGCAGCAGAGAGTGGTGGTCCAGTTATATGCACTTTTCTTCATTGATTTATCACAAAAATGTCACAAATTAAAACACCCATGTAGGATCTCAAACTTTTACCACAGTTTTTGTGTTTATATCAATACCATTAATGACATTACTGCCATTTTTTCTTAGTTTAAGTCTTGATTGGACAAGTATTGTGATCAAGAATTATTACAAATTACCTTTGAGCTGAATAATCATTTCTCTTTGAACAACAATCAATAATGGATATAATGGTGGGCTGGGTCAGAATTTAACCTGTGGCCTCGTTGGATGCCCGAACCCTTGATTTAATGGTACATCTGTGTAATAAGAGATGTACTGAATATTATTACACTGCACAAGAGGATATTCTCTGTCAGGAAATAATCTCTTTAGAAAATCCCTCCATGAGTGACACCTTTAACAGGACATCATTCATATTTAAAATAAGGGCTCTTCCAAAATGTTATATCAAAAAGATTACTCAATGAAAAAAGGACAACCAAATAGAAGAGAATGCATTGGCATATAACCAGAATTTAAAAATAACTGTCGATATAAACTAGATATAAACAATAAAAAGAAAATTACGTGCAAATAATTACAACAGGTAATCTATGTGTCCTATGACCGCTGCCAGTCGTCACCTTCAGGGATTAAGTGTCAGAATATGTTTTCAGGGCAGGACACACATGATGGATTGTG